AGTAGAACCACTCCTGGGTCTCTTTGGCAGTTCCCCTTGATCTTGATTTTGATTTTGTCGTGACACGATTATTATTTCGACCCTGACTTTGTTCTCAGACCCCCAAAAAACGCACATGCATGTAATTGCACTTGCGGCCATCGTGGGAGAAAGAGTATCCATGGAAACTCCAGAGCACACACACAAATCTATTACATCTGAAACGATTATTTAAAATTATATCTGATTGATGAAAAAAAAAGCTTTGACACTACAACTTGTTTACATTTCAGCTGGTCAATTACTGTTGTATTTGTGATTGCAAATGTGAATGGCCGGCATATAATTGAAGGGAGTGATGATGATTATATGGGCCGGTGCTTTGTTTTCATTTGATGGGGTGCTGCTCTGAGCTCTACACGGATTTTATTATGCTGCGCGAGGCCTGTTCGACGGACACCCACCCGTGCTATTATTAAATCGGGCGGCCGATCTGCCAGAGGGATAATTTTAACGTGCTATGCGAAAGTACACAAAAAGAGGACGCGCGAGTGACCAGCTTCAAACGCCCCGCCGGCCCGAGCGGTTGAGCGAGATCGAGCCTTTGAGTTTCGCGAGTTCTTCAACCCCTTTGATTTGCATCTCATGATGTGTGGGCGGCCGCCTCTCTGATATTGTTGCCAAGAGGGAAAGTGATTATTATACATTTTAATTTCATCATAAACATAAATAAAAATTTCATTCTCACCCTGCCTGCAATTACAGCAATAATGCTTTTGAGATAAATATTATTTTGAAAATATGTCTGCAGAAAAAAATGTTCTACAAAAAAAAAAAAAACATTAAGTCAAACGTTTTAGGCAATGTACTTTGATTGATTTCAACTACTTTATTATATTAAAGTTTCAATTAATTTAAAACATTCTTTTTTTGGAGGGAATAATTTTTTTAATTTTAATGAGTTAATATTAAATTTTAAAAGTTTTTAAGAATTATTTTTCCTTATTTTAGATATTCTAATGATAATTTTAGTCTAAAAAATTGCTTAAATTATAAATATTACAATGATTGATGACTGAATAATTGTATCAAAACAATAATAACTTTTACTCAATATGGCAATGAATTAGCGTAAAATCAAAATAAGCGAATATATATTAAATTTATTTCAATAACAATTCTCATTGTTTCATCTGTTCATAATAATTTTAATTTCAATGCATTTATTCTCCCGCGACAAGTCAAGTGAGAGAAAAGTCACATTGGGAGAGAATTGGCAGCCAGCTCTAGTAGAAACAATTTACTATTAAACACATAAACCCAATTTGGATGCCAAAAAGTGTTTTCGAATTAAACCTATATACTTGCGGAGCTGGAGCCGTAAACGGAAAAATTAATATTATTTTTTAATATATAAAATAAAAAATATCTAGTTCAACCATTTTTATTGTTTATGCAAATTAGCATTTTCCCCTTTATTGGTCATCTTAGAATAAATGCACGTCCTAACTTCAAACAAAGTAGCTTCTTTTTCTTTCCCAGAGTCTCCGACACAGCATTATTATATTATTATACAAACGCAAAACCTGCTCTCGTCGTCGTCGTCAATCAGAAAACGAGTTTCGCCGCGGATAAGATTTCCATCTCTCGGTTCGACGCGGTTTTGAATGAGAAGCCACCGGCCGAGCTGAGGAGGAATCGAGCAATCTTGATGAATCAAATACATGAAAAGCATCGGTCCCCTCTTTAAATCTTTCTCACTGGACGATATTTTCTTTCTTGCCCGTATCTCCGCCCCTGCTCTTCACACGCATAAAGAAAAAAAATAAGAAAAAAAAAAACACTCCATGAAAATATAAAATGTGCTCATCATTATATAATGTGAAATAAATCTCGTCAGTCTGGCTGGCGCGTCGAGTGGTGATCATCAACGGAGGAGCCGCCGAGGATTTTTATATTTTATTTCTGTCCCGGGTGTAGTTTGGCCGCATTTCGGCAGGGGACGCCAGCACCGTCGCCGCCGAGAGTGGAAGGAAGGTTGCTGTGTTTTTCGGCGAGGGTGCCGTCCTCGTTGGAGGGGGTTGTGCTTTCGAGGGGAGACTCTGCGTGCACTTCCCGAAAGAACAGCAACAGCAGCAGTCGTGCCAGAGATTTCAATGTGAGCAGCGACGTTTCTCTCTCCTCGTTTGTGTGTTCTTTCTTCAAGACAAAGAGGAGAGTTTTTAATTATTTAGCGCGAGTCCGTCCGACGACAGTGACATTCCCAAGGAGACGAGAAGGTTAATCACCCGAGTCACCTTTAATTCCCTCGCTGCATTGTTTTGTTTTTAACTTTTGTTTTGGTTCGGAGGAGCTGCAAATCACATCATGAGGTGAGTTTCATGCTTTTAATAACTTTTTGTTGGTATTTGTCGTCATGTGTCAAGTACGTGTTTGAAAAAAATTTTGTGAGAATGTTTTTGGCTACCCTAAGTTTTCGGGAAATGGCGGAAGTTGTGGAAGATACCTAGAGGCATAAAAATGTCTATTCAAAATAAATTTAAATTTGAAAAAAAAAATTTAAAATTCAATTCCAAAAATGAAAAAAAGTTAAGAAGATATTTTAGTACTGCTATAGCCTCTGCTAACACATTTATTATTGTTATTTTCCATTTATTTCTCGTTTTATTTTGTTTTTTATTTTAAGTAATATTACTTTTATGTTATTGAATGATAGGTTGGTGTGGTTTAGTTAAATAAGGCTTCTAAATTTAAAATAACTTTTAAAAGATAAACATTTCAAATTATTTCAACTTATTTTTTTTTATAGTATTTTTTTTTAACTTTGATTATGTCAAATTATACAAAATGTAATGATTATTTTTTATATTATAAAATTATTCTAGGAAGTTATAAATTTTAATATTTTTATTAAAACTAAATGCTTAAAAACTAATCAAACATGATTTTATGTATATATTCGCGGCTGTCTCACTTATTTAATATTACAATGAATGCAGTCAGTATATTCACACCTTCTCTAGTTGTAACCTAATGATTGGTCGTAGTATATTATATAATTCGATACTCAATTGTTACATCATTTGATCTTCCAGGGCCAGGTTAAGAATATAAATAAAAAAAGTATAAACATTTTCTGTAAAAATAGGCAACGCGCTCATTATAAACAACAAATTAATAAAAATGAAATATGCTCAATTTTTTAATGAAAAGTCTTCTTGCAGAACTAAGGCAAAAATGGATTTAATTAAGTCATAAAAACTGATAAAATCCCATAATTTTATTTTAATGATTTGGATTATAAGTCAATACACAATAAGAGATTCTCTTAATTTTACAACATACACTAAATAAAATGTCCCATGAAAAGATACGAAGAGATTAAAATTAATTAGGAAATGCTTCAATAAATATAAAAAAATCACCAAAAATTGATACAGAAATTGGAGAACTCAGCTTGCAATGCTGCTTAATTTATGGTTTGAAATCTTAAACCAAAACAGAGAGCAATCAGATAGGCCAAAATTAAACAACCATTTGTAATTTTTTAATTAAATATATAATTATCCTGCGTAACACGTGTTCCCAATTATTAAAAGTGGGTGTATCTGCTCAATTCTTCTCTTCCACTTGGAGATTTTATCTCCTACGAGTAGAGGGATAAAATCTTTCATCTGAATTGCAAAACTAATATTTGAGCAGCGAATATCTCTCCCGGCCAAGATGATAAAAATTTCATATAACGAGAATAAGGAGGACGAAATGCATTTCCCCGCGAGGGAGCACTCAAAATTCATCACAGAAACATCCCCCCATGCGAAATCAGCGAAAAAATAATGAACAGGAAACACACGGGCTGCTTTCTCTATATCTTCTTCCCTTCCTCTCTGTCTTCCGAAACTCTCTGTTGTGCACCCCCGCGCCACAAAATTTCTCTCACAAAATTTCACCGCACACGCACTGCACCTTTTCTCCCTTTTGAAATTTTCCCTGCATGCTTGATTTGAATGTGTCCCTTGCTCAATACGTGCCCAAAAACGAGGCGATGATTGAAATACACCCACTAAGGGGTTGACGGCAACATCAATATCATCAACCCTCTCGCCCACTTCCTCTTTCCCTCTCCAAAAACAACTTCAAACCCGTGCTCGCTGCTCCGGATATTAATAAGGGACAGGACGCCAAACCTTGACGAATACTTACCGGGTTGATGCAATTTTAATTATCGATAATTATTATTTTTTTCAAGAGTTTTTCACACCACAATCGATCGTGAAAATTTCTTGTTGGTTAAAATGATCAAACTAATAAATTTAGTATGTAATCGTAAGCGGTTTAAAAAGCCAGCACTATTTTAAAACTCTAATTTTGATTTCAACTAATTGAGAATGAATAGAGAATTTAGAAGAATTTTTTTTATTGTTTCGTTTTCTTTATTTTATTATTTTGCTGCAAGTGGACATAGTGATAGTGACAATAATTGGCGACCACTTAAAAGCAAACCAAATTAAAATTGCAAAATAATTTTGGGCTTTGCATTTATATATTTTTTTAATTTTGCATTTAAACAAAGAAATAAAAATTATATTGTATTACATTTTTTTAACTTGGAGAATTTTGTGCTTTACTTTAATTCCACGTTTTTTTTTATTTTTTATTTTTTCAATTTTATTGGCTCAATTACAAAAAGTAATGATAACTTAAACATTTATAGTTGTCTGTTTCTGTGTAATAAATTTTTTTTTTAACAATTTTCTTCCATTTTATATCTAAAACTAGAAATATTTGAATAGGGATCATTACACTAATTTCTTCATTTCTTGTAATATAAGAAGCTTTATCGAGGGGAAAATTGTTCAACTAGCCAATTTTTTTAAATTTATTTCGTCTGAAAAAATTACAAACAAAACCAGACGAAAACCAATCAATTCGATTGAGAAGTGATTGAGCGTCCCCCGCACTTCCCTTATTATAAAAGAATGAATGAGTGGCGCTGCGATGGTTGGCGCCTGTAAAGGCAGATGTCTCTGAACGCACTGCCCAGCCCGTGGTGTTCTCTGCTGGTGAGCGCGGCGGCAAACGCCAACGCCAGCCGATTACATGCACGGCTCGCCGCTTTCCATCCGTCCACCAGCAAAAATAAAACACATCAAAAAACAAGTCTCCCATGCTTGCCGTAGCGTAGCCTTAGCCTTTTAGTCGCAACTCGGCCAGCAGCACGCGAGCATCTCCCGCCCCGAGTAGAAAAGAAAGACAAAAAAGAATCACTCCAATTTTGCCCCCGACGAGAGAAAACAATCTGAAATTTGGCCGCGGCCTCTGTGTGCAGTGTGAGCAGCACCGACGCGCACCCGGCCCTGGGCATGTGCTGAAGCGGGGGCGCGCGCCCCGCAACCCTCCGCCAACCCTCGTCGAGCCGCAGCACTCGCTCGGCTCCCACAGGGCGCGCTCACCTCGGCTACGACGGAGGCCAAACGTGCGAACGCTTCCGCTGGCTCAGGGCACCATGTAAAGATCTGCGAGGACCCGCCCCAGAGGAGAGGCTACCCTGCGGAAGGCTCGTTCAGCCCTGTCGTCCACCCAGTTTACCAGCCGAGTCGCCTCATCCGCCGCCCAGGAGGGTCGTCGGTCGCCGACTCAGGGGCTTCGTCCCCGTTGCTGCCCCGTTCCGCCACCCCTACCCCTAGCATCCTTAGTGCTGGCAGTCAGGAGATCCTCAGGGTCCGCTGTCGGATCCTGCCCTCGGTCGCCGAAGTCAAGCCTTCCAGACCCAACACCCCCTCGCTCCCGCCGCCTCCACCGACGCCTCCGCAACTACAAAAACAACCAGTAACAGGTGAGCCACCCCCTAACAACCCCCCGAAAGGTACCACCCTGAGAGACACGTGGGTGTTTACCTGATTTGATTCTTTGGAGTGCTCTCGGTGCTTGTCTGGTTGCAGAGTGTGTTGTGATCTGTTGCTATTAGGGATGGTCCTGATTTAAATTTCCCAAAAGTATTAAATTTATTTTAATTTTGTAAAAAAAGAAGAGGAAGTTGCCTAAAATTTTAAAATAGTTTGATAGAATGAAATTGAAATTTGATCTAATATTTAATGAAAATTTGCATGAAAGAGTTGAAACAGTTTAAAAACATTTTTCACATTTTTTTTTTAAATATAAATATTAGGAATACATTTTAAACAACCCTTTCAAAACGTCAGCCTGCTTGTCTGGTAAGCGCTTCCACTTTCCCTGTCTGTCTTTCTTTTACTCTCTCTATAGACATATTTTCCACGCTGTTGCCCTGCATATTTTTCACAGAACAAAAGTTCACCCGGGCACAAAACCCCATTTTTATTCGTCAGATTTGTGGCACGCGGCCAGAAGCCGTGATCGCCGCAACAAACGCTGATTAATATCTACGCAAGCGAGGAATTTTTTATCTCAAATAATTTCTCCACACCACCCTGGCAACAGTTTGTTTTTCAACCAGTAACTTTTCCTAACTATATAGTTGGCATTAGTTTTGCTGTGTGTTTTGTGCGTGCATGCGATCGAGAGGAACAAGTAGCCGTAGAAGGAAAGGGTTTATTGCCGCACACTTAAAAAACTCAGCTGGCGACGGCGAATTTCATTCTGTTCGTTCTCGGGCACCCATCTCGCTACTTTTATTAGGCCCCGGGGCCAAGTGCTGCATTCCCTCGGCCGCTACTCGTTTTTCCTCTTTTTGCAAAAGAGAAGAAGACGACATCCCCACCGCCGAGACGGTAATCTGATGCAAATTGCGTTTCGGAATTATTATTATTATTTCTATGTATATGCATGAGAGGCGGTGCTCATGAATGCGTGTGATTTGAACTTTGCCAGCCGCTGGGGTTGCTCGTTTGCGCGAGATCAGATTTTGTGATATGGGGACGTCAAGTCACCGTGAGTCCTAAACGTTTTGCAGCCAACCCCTTTTTGTACATTATGTGCGGGGGATTCCGGTTCGTTTTACACCTCGTTAGGAATTCATTTTGCGGTGCACTAATTATAACATCAACTTTCAGGGTCATATGCAGAGGGTATTACATAAAATAACATGATTAAAGTTTTATATTATTGAGCATAATTGTTTAAATAATATTTATTTATATTTAAAAAAATTTTACTGACAACATAATTTTAATATAAAAATTATTTAAAAACATTTTGCATTAAATATAATATTATGTGAATTTTTTGGTTTAAATTTTTGTTTTTTTATGTTTCCAATAAAAATTGTTTATAAAACAATGCCAACAATAAAATTATTGCCAGCAACTATAAAAAAATCTCTCAGGAATCAATATTAATCTGAAATCTTCTACTAAAAATATTGGTGCAATCTGAATTGTTTGATTTGAAACTAAAATTGTCCTTATTAATTATGAATATGCTAGCTCAAATGACGATATATTAATAGAATAAGAGCGATGCAAAATTTTCTTTGTTTCGAATGTATAATTTCAATTGTTTTCAAGCGGTAAAACTGCTATTTTAAATTCACGCCAGTGCGATAAAAAAGCCCTGAAAAACGGCGTTAATTCTTGTCTCATCTTCGCAATCTTTTCGCTTTCGTTTCCTCCTCGTCTGCGTTGCCGGCGTTAAAAACTCTGCAGCAGCCAAAAGTAGTTTTAATTGCGTGTGCGATGAACACAGCGACAAGGCCGGCGAGCAAATTACACGGCTCGGCGTCTTTTAATCCCAAGACAAACACATGCAGCATCCGAGAGAGGCAGCGACTCGTGCCACTACACACATTTGAATGCATAATATTCAACCTCCGTTTAACCTTCTGCAGCGCCTCTAATTTACGACAGGGCGCCGAGCAAAATAAAAACTCAATCACAACCGAATGACGCAGTGTGCTTGCGTGGAAAATAAGTAAATGTGTCACGGATTGAATCGGAGAGGCAGTGTTGATTGTCACACCGAGAGTGGAACAGGTGCAATTGCTTCGGCATTGAACTCTCAACAGCCAGTCCTGGACATGCAGCGCACGCGAAGTTGGTCTTTTTTATAAGGCATTAACGCAGGCGTGCATCATCAAACTTTGTTTTCTTTTACGCCGGTTCGTGGAAGTATTTTGAGCTATTTTTATTGTTCTCCGAGATGGATAATGACCGCCGTGAGTGCAACGTAACTGAATACAAACATTAAACAGCGAGAGAGAAACAAAAAATTATACGCGGTTGTATTTGAGAGAAGGAAAGAAACATAAAAATTTGAAAAAGTGGCCAAAAGAGTGAAACAAATAATCTCCCAGATGGAGTAAATTTTCAAGCTTTGATTATAACAAGGCAAAAATTACGACAAAGTTCAAAGAGGTGAATAATAAAAATAAAATAAAATTTGTTGTCTTGCTGTTAGGGCTGAATTAATTAAACAAACATATAAAAAAAATGTCAATTACAATAGAACTTTACAAAAGAGAGTCTTCTTTTTAAATTCACTCCGAAATTCACAATCTTGTCAAATTTTGCATATTAAATAGTTTTCTTTAATTGCAGGATTCATTCTTAGTTTATCATTATTTAAAACATCTAACAGAATAAAATATACGAAATAAAATTGGCATTTGAAATGGTGCATTTGAAAAACTGAAAATAAGGCAAAATTAAAATAATAAATATTCAAATACTAAAAAATGTTAATAATTATATCAGAAGTAAAATATAAATATTATTGTAAATGTATATTTAAATAAGCTTTATAGTGGCTGCAAATAATCCCATAGCAGGTCTCTTAGAGCCTTCTGGATAACCCCTGTCAAGGTCGTTGCGCTCTTCCCATGACTTCATATTGTACTGCCGGGACCGATGATTGCATTCCGCCTCCTCGAGACTCATTCTAGAGCAGAGTAAAAAAAAGTAATCTGCCAGGAAAACTGGTGTCGATGCCCGTTTCATTGAAATTCCCGCGCGCAAAGAATGGCAGTTAAAAGAAATTGCCTAAAAATTAACCCTTGTACGAGAGTTTTTCGTCCTGCAGGCTAATTGGCTGTGGAGGAAAAAATTACTGTTTTGCCTTTGCACCAAGTCGACCTACGAAAAAGTAATGGTGTCATCCTCAGAAGTTAAACGGCGCCGTAAAAATTTAAAAGCGCGGCCGTAAAACATAAAAAACAACTTTCGGGGGCGCCTTTAAATCAATAAGCGTCTCAAACGGCCGGGTTAATTAAAAATTCTGCTGATGTCATAGAAAAAGGTCAGCTGTGGTGGGTTAAAGAGTGTCACGAGCAGATCAACGCGGTTGAGAAACTATAACGTCCATATAATATCAAAAGAATAACCTACGCGCGTTTTTGAGCCGAAAACGCCAAGGATTTCAATTACCAATTCGGATCGCGCCGCTTTCACTCCAAACTCAGTCAGAGTGGCTTTTGTTCTCATTATTTAATCAGAAGAAACAACAAACCTGGCTCGGCTCATTTCAATTTTTCACACGCGGAGCCAGTTTGGATCCGAAGGAGAAAAAGAACGAGTTTGTTTGCCGAGTGAAAAAAAAGAAGCCGTGCGTCTCTCTCTCTGATTCTTTCTCATTCAAGAAGAGAGTGAGCCTAATAAGCGCAATTGTAGTGTGCTCTGAATTGTAAGAGTCCGAGCTATAGGCAGTCGCGTCGCAGCAGCTGAGGCGTGTATGCTGATTTCTTTATCGCTGCTCGCCGTTCGTGGCCGCGAGTGTGTTTGTGTTTAGTTCGGTTTTCGCCTCCGAGGCGGACGATGCACTTTCGGCCACTTCTCCAGTGAAAATGGTGCGCAAGTACAAATTCATCACCGGCGGCTACTACCGTGAGTCTCCAAAATTACACTATTGACTAGAGAAAAGACTAGAATTACATTTAAAACTTTTTTTTTAATTATGTAAACATTTCTAATAAGAAAATTCAAAATAATTGAATAATAGCTTGAAAAATACTTTATCAGACTTAAATTGTCTTCAAATTTTTAAAAGTCTTGCAAAATTTGTTGGCATCAGAGTGATTTTTACACAGAGTATAAATTTTTGACTGCGAGCTTAAAAAAAATCGATAGTGAAATTAATTTTAGCCAACCTCTTTTTTGCATCAATCTGCCCTGCCTCAGCCTCTGTAATTAAATTTATTTTACGACCGATGGGTCCCTGCGACGGTTCTCATGAATTATTTTATATCAGACTTCATCAGACCCCCTGGTCTGAAATCAGATCGCGCTTCTTTTCGGCCTCGGGTGCGAATACATCGAAATCCTGACTTAATTGAATTCCAATTTGCCAACTTGGCTCCGAGCCTGCTAAGCCAGCTGAATGGTTTTTAGGCCGTTTAATTTGCTTTAGCCACGCCAATTACCGTGGTCTTTTTCGGGACCTATAGCAAAAGCACTCACTACTCAGCTGATAAATGGCTATGATAACAAGGAACAAGGTGTTGGCCTCAAGAGGTGTTTTCAAATATTCAATAAACAAAAAATGTTAGGAAAAAAAATCATTTTTAGACTGAAAGGCTGAAATAGTCAATTATGCCTGGGAATCTTTTGCAAATTTGCAATGTGTTGAAATTTAACTAAAGTTAGTTTGATTTTTCGCTACCAAATCAATACAGATATTATGCTGTAGAAAAAAATCAAAGTATATGCTTTTATCGATATGCGAATTTTAGCAAATTTTTCTTTTTATTTATTTATTATTATTTTTTTTTTTTTTAATTTTTTCTCTAAATTTTATCAGCAACTTTTGGTATATTTGTGCTCTGATTTTCCAAGCAAATTATATTTTATTTTCCCTTTCCCGGCGCCCATCTCATCTCATTAGAGCTTTAATTAACCAGAGTCTAATTGGAAAACGAGCGTCTAGCCCGCTGCCAACGTCAGGCTCTCTTCTCTCTTCAGGCTTTATTTTCTCCTGTTTTTCATTATCCCGGGGCGATTGTTAAAAATTTAGCGTCTGCCTCGGCGGCGAGCGACTGCATTTTTCCAACAAGGGTCATCTGCATACTCGTAGCTCGGTGGTAATTGTCTTCTTAAATATTCCCTTTCGGTCGGCGTGCCATTGTTTTGTTTGAGGAGTCATTCACCTGCACCAGTCTCCTGTTCGCTGCTCGGACGTGTATGTACTTTTTGTTAAGAGCAAAACGCGCGGCATGTCGGGCTCTAATCACGCTAAATAATCACGAGAGAAAGAAAGACACGGAAAAGAAGGGCCTCGCTTTCTGCTTGGATGTTGCTCTGATATTCTTCCTCGTGCACGCTGTCTCGAACTTTTGCGCGACCAGATTACTTTTATAAAAATATTACGGTTCTCTGTTACGTGAACGTAAGTAAATTGCTTCATGCGCGAGATGCGGCGTATTATTTATACCTCAAGGGGAAGGTGAGGAGGAGAGAGAGAAAGAGTAACGAACCGCGGTTTAATTCGCGACGTAGATTGGCAAAGCGGCGACTCGCGAAAATTGATGATTCAGCCAAATTTTGTGCAAGTTAACTGCCATTCCGGTCAAACCGCCTAACGCAGTCTAAAAAGTGGCCAAAGAATTTTATTTAAAAAGCTAATATTAAAGTAAAGAACTTAAAGTATAATTTTTTTAATGCAATTATTAAATGTTTTTTATAATTTTTCTATAATTCTTAATTTGACAATTAATATAATTATTATAATATTTTATTTTTAAAATTTTATATATTTGCTATCAGTTACTTCCCATTTTGTTGACATTATAGGCATAAATTTTACAGATTTTATATAGCGGAAAATAAATAATATTTTTCAAAGATCACAATAGCTGCAGTGATAATTAAAATCGATCTAAGTAATCCTTGTTGTTTGGGAAAAGATGACGGTTTCCTTAAATAATTAATATTATAATTATGTAAAACAGTGTAATTGCTAAAATTGTAAACGTCTGTACCATTTGACTAATAATATTGACCCTTTTTCCTAATCATTGATGATAAACTCCTAAATAGATAAACGGAGAAAGAAAAATTAATATATTATTAACTTTAATTCCTTAAGAGGATTTCTACATGAACAGGATAGATTATTATAAATAAAAAAGTACATTTCTCGTTAGAAATTCATAAGAGCGCGATTAATGTGCGGTTGATCATCTCTCATGTGCCAAAAGTTCCTATTGAAATGTATGTTAATGCCCCTACTATTTTGGAAGCTTGTCGTTATATAAAGCAAAACTATTGGTAACAAAAAACCATAGAAACCAAATCCTGGCGATAGCAGCAAAAGTAGAAAAAAAACGATTCTAACGTTCCTTTTTTGGTGTGAGCTGCTTTGCATTTAATTTAAAATTCGTAAATCAAATGCGGTCGAGCGAAATGAAAAATGAGAAATAGAAAATTATATATTCTCTCGTGTTACCCTCTTTGGCGCGATTCGGATTTCTCCGAGCCGCAGAGCAGCTGCGAAATAAAATAAAATCTGCGGTTTCCGAGTTGGTCGACCCCGCAGTCAGCAGCTCGTCACTTTGCAGGACCACCGAACAGTTTTGTGTCGTTTTTGTGGCGATGCAAACGTGTTTGAAAGTCTCGTGCCCTGGCGACGAAAGTGCAGGCGGAGGTCGCGGACGGACGACAGTCGGTGCTCGGTCGCGAGACAATTGGCAGCTCGCGACTGAAATTCGGAAATAATCAGAAGAGCAGAGAATAATGGAGTCGTATTTCAATAGTTCGACCTCGTCGTCGCCAGCATCCAGCAGCTCCTTTGGTATATGACATACGTACAATTACATAACCTACTTTCGCGTATTGAACAGTCTCGGCCGCGGCACTTTTGTATGCGCGCCTATTTATGTGCTTCGCCCTTTTTCGGTGCTGACAAAAAGCAGCGTCACATTTGCTCCCTGCCCTCGAGACTTTAGAGTTTATTTTCGGCTTGGTAAATCAATTTTTGTGCATATATGTGATCGGAGAAGAGATGAAAAACACGTTGCCGATGCCCCGTGGCGAGTGGAGATACATTTTATTTAATATTCGCGAGTTTGAGCACTTTGAGAGCATGTCGAGGAAAAAATGTTTTATAACATGGGCTACGTGCCAGTCAAAACACTTGAGTCGTCTCATGTTTAAGTGAGATATTGTGCACAGCATAAAAAGTTCTCATCTGCAATATTTTAAATTTCTTAATTAGAAAAAATATATAGTAAATTAGAAATATTGTAAGCTTTTTATATAAAGTGATGTAAAGTGAAAAGATAATTTTGTTGTAAATTTAGGTTCCAAACCAAATAAATGGTTGCAGGTGTTATATATATATATTTTTTTTTAAATATTAAAGATTTAATTACATTCAATTATTTAAAATCACAAATTAATTGAAATCTGGGGAAAATGAGGACTTTTTTCACAAATTAAGCAGCATTTTTAGAAAATCAGAGATTCTGCTTTTAAAAATAAAATTTAGGCTCATTTATTTAGAATGTATTTTACTACGATCAATTTTTTTGCATCTCACATCCTTTTTATTTACATCACAAATTTGTAGAATTTGGTTTGTGTTGATAATTTTTTTAATTTATCCCAGATACATTCAAATTTTAGATACAAAAAGAATTTCTTACTTCATTAATACAGAACTGGTACAGATAAAACTCAAGGAACAATTGTCTGATGGACAATGAACGTTGTACATGCAGTGGGGTTAATAATCGTTTCTAATAAAGTTAACCGTCTCCGGCGGATATTGCAATCGCATAATAATGCTCTCTATTAGGAAAGCTCTCACGCTCCTATTAATGGCACAGACGGAGCTTAATTCACTTTCCAATACGAAAAAATGCGGACAGAAAATTGTATGCGCGAGAACAGACAAAGATCAGAAATCACGAAAAGCGAGTGAATGTATTTATAATTTTTTTTTTTCAAAGGAGGGATCTTCAAAGGCCAGCGCATGTGTGTGAAAAAGCCTCATGCATTTATTTATAAAACGCGAAATCGCTTTCCGCTCTGCACAGAAAACGATTTCTGCCGCTTCTAAAAATATGTGTATAATTCCATCGTCTGATGCGTTAGCAGTTTATTTCTCGACACTTTTTCTTGCGTAAACATTTGCTCTGCGAGCCTGAAATACAACCCATTGAGATGCAGAGGCTAGAAAAGGACGCTGCCAGAGAGTGACATCACTCGCTTTTTAATTATAGTAGTGAAAAACCACCCCCATGTGCCGTTTCGAGTTTCTCTCTAGCTTCAGGGGGTTGAAATTAAAAAGCGTGAGCTCTCAAGAGTGATTTTCTTCCTCCGTGACTCACGCTTGTGCTTCACTTGAGACGAAATTTCATCTAAAAAGGGGTGTGCAGATTTTCCTCTTTTGATTTTTGCGTCGCGGGGGTGATTTGAGCATAATTCGTGATCCGCCCCTTTTTTCGTCTATTGTTCTCGCAGTCGAGCAGTTTTTGTTTTAACGATGCTTTCAAAATAATTATTCCCAGCATATATATGAAAATAAAAATAATGCATTCTTGCTCGCGCGCCGAAGTACATGCGGGGAATTAATAATTGGATGCACTTCCATGAAAGGCGTTATCCTAGCTGTCGCTTCGAAATGGAAATTGCAGAGCAGCAACTCGACGACGACTATTATTACTGAAATAAAAGAAAAACAAAAGCGCTCTCTCGCAGGCGTTAATCAACTCCGAGGCCATTTGTCCTATTTCATCCGCTGTGCACCTGCTGCTTTGTTGGGTTGAATGTTAGTTAATTTTTTTTCATTCAATCGATCTTAAAGGACAAATAGGTTTGTGTCAAGTGTCACGTCATGAAATCACGCCATGCGCACGTTAGTGGTTTCAAAAAGTACATAGCGTGCT